TTCTAGCCTCTTATGAATGAATGGCTTATAGACCTCTGGAGTTTGGCTTTGTAAAAAAGAAATTAGTATATAGATTGTATTAAAATATCTAAAAAAATTGATGTTAATCAAACATTTATCCCATCCTATGAAAGTGTATTCAGTCTTTCATTGGCTCCCACATCCCAAGTTCTGTTTTACTTTATTTTGTTTTTTCGGGACAGAGTCTCACTATGTTGCCCAGGCTGGAGTACAATGATGTGATCTCAGCTCACTGCAACCTCTGCCTCCTGGGTTCAAGTGATTCTCCTGCCTCAGCCTCCTGAGTAGCTGGGATTACAGGTGCGCACCACCACACCTGGCTAATTTTTGTATTTTTAGTAGAGACAGGGTTTCACCATGTTGGCCACACTGGTCTCGAGCTCCCGACCTCAGGTGATCCACCTGCCTCCACCTCCCAAAGTGCTGGGATTACAGGTGTGAGCCACTGCACCCAGCCCCAACTTTTATTTTAAAGCTCCTATTGAGCCTCTGTGTGTGAGGAGCCAAGCTAAATGCTGGGTTTACAATAGCAAAAAACAACAATAACAACAAAAACAAAAACACGGTCATTGTCCTTGAAGCACGTATAGTCTAATGAGAGAATACAAACTTTAAAGTGGTAATTTCATTAACTAGTTTACAAGTCAAACAAGAGCTAAGTAGAGGATACTATACACAGAGGAAGGGTTCCGTGCCTGGCCTGGAATGTCATAGAGGCTTTCTATAGAAGGATGTTGAACAGAGGCAAGGAACTATACACCCTGACACAAAAATCATGCAGTAGGCCCTTAATCGACAACAGTGGACTAAACAGTGCCCTAGGCAGAGGGGCAGGAGAAGGGGACCAAGAATGGCTCCAACAATTTGGCTCACAGAGTTGGATGGTGGAGCCACCATCTGAGATAGGACATTGAAGCGGGGAGAATCTTCCGCCCTGTCTCAATCCACAGCCTTGGATAAAGAACAAAACTATATGGGAAATATTTAAAATAGATACTTCAGGCTGGGCATGGTGGCTCACGCCTATAATCCCAGCACTTTGGAAGGTCGAGGCAGGTGGATCACGAGGTCAAGAGATTGAGACCATCCTGGTCAACATGGTGAAACCCCATCTCTACTAAAAATATAAAAGAATTAGCTGGGCATGGTTGCGCGTGCCTGTAGTCCCAGCTACTCGGGAGGCTGAGGCAGAATTGCTTGAACCCAGGAGGCGGAGGTTGTGGTGAACCGAGATTGTGCCATTGCACTCCAGCCTGGGTAACAAGAGTGAAACTCAGTCTCAAAAAAAAAAAAAAAAATAGATACTTCACCCTGCCTTTATGTGTCCCTCCTCCCACCTGATTCCCCAAGAGGGGACACCTGATTCATACTTGGCCCGGGAACGAGGCAACACTGAAAGACAGAGACAGTTGGCAGGGAGGACCGGAGCTGTTTTTAGGGAGAATTTCCTTTGGAGTTGGTGCTAGGGCACGGCAGTCGTGTGCCAGGCACAGGGGAGCAGAAGACCCAGAAGTAGTACAATAAATCTGTCCTCACAGGGAGACGCAAGGAAATGAGGCAGACTAGACAGGGAAGCACAGCAGAGACAGAGACGACCCACGAGAAAAGAAGGGAGCACTTGGCTATCTGGCTTTCTAGCACCTGTTCCTTCAGTCTCAGAAACTTATGTGTTCTGCTCTTGGATGCTGGGAAATGCCTTTCTTATGGTAAACTCCCTTTGTCTTTACTTTGAGTGGATTTTTGTTTCTTCCTGCCAAAGACATACTAAGGCAGGAAAGGTAAGTTCAGTTACTGAAACATTAACTGTAAGGTGCACTATGCAGAGGTGGGCAGTCGGTGGTAAACGGGTAAGTAAAAGGCTTAGGAGACACTTCATGATCACAGATAAAGATAGGGGTGTGCCACTTCTAGTTTCCAAGCCCTTCTATTTCTCTCTATTTCTTAGCCAGTCCTATTCTCCTCCCACTTGCCAGGTGCTATGAAGAATATGAAATGCTGTGAAGTGTGTGTGGGGCTATGTCTTTGATGAGCCATATGACAACAATTGGAATAATAACCCTGCCCAGCCAGCATCACAGGAGCATGATGAGGACCAAATGTCAGGGGGCTTAGAAAAGTGAAAAGACCGCCAAGGCAACGCAACATGATCTCTCCTCTACAAATCATTAAAAAATTAGCTGGGCTTGGTAATGTGCACTTGTGGTCCCAGCTACTCTGGAGGCTAAGGTGGGAGGATTGCTTGAGCCTGGAAGGTTAAGGTTGCGGTGAGCCCTGATTGCACTGCTGCAGCCTGGGTGATAGAGTGAGAACCCCCCCCAAAAAGAAAGAAAGAAAGGAAGGAAGGAAAGAAAAAAAGGATGGAAGGAAAGGAAGAAAGGAAAGAAAGAAAAGAAAGAAGAAAGAAAACAAAGAAAGAAAAAGAAAAGAAAGAAAGGCAAAGCCCTACAGGTTTAGAAGGTTGCATCCTCATCACCTGTGTAGGCAGAGAAAAGATGCCCTAAGGAAAGTAAGAATACCTCCAGGAGCAGGGATGGAGAAATGGTTGTACACTGAGCGCCCTCTGCTTCCACTCTGCTTAGCACTTGGCAGACATTATCTATTTTTAATGCTCAAAAGATCACCATGAGAAAGTATCAGTATTATTTCCATTTTGCAGATGAGGATACAGAGACTCCGTGGTACTAGGGTACGTAGCACTGAGGCTAATCCCGGTTCTCCCCAACTCTACTCACATTTCCACAGTTACAGACATGTGGACTGGCTGCATTTAGCAGCTTCCTGTTGGAAGGGGTAGGTGAGAGCTCATGGCTTACTCCATGCACCTGCAGCCTATCACAGGAAAGCTCTGGAAATCAACAAGCACCCATGAACAGAAAGGAGTGGAATGAAGCCACTTACAAATGTATTTCCACTTTCTGAACCGTAGTTCAATCCAGGAAGACCAAGGTACTGGATTTCACACCTAGGACATGGCCTTCCACCTTCTTGGCCACTACCCCAAACAAGGGTCAGTGGGCCCTAATACTGGAAGATCTTGAGGCACTGAGGCTGGGAGGCTGGAGGCGGGGTGCAAGGTTGAAGGTGGAAGAGAGGGAAAGTGAGTGGAGAGGACAGCCCGGAGCCAAAGCCCACTTGCAGGAGCTCCTCATCAAAGGGGCTGCTCTTCTCTGCACTCATAGGGCGGCTGCGGCCTTAGAGGCCTGAGTCAGAGGCTGTTGCCCTCAGTCCCCTGAGCTCTATGCTGAGGGTGGCTGGGTCCTGTGCTGCAGCAACAACAGCCCGCCTGGAAAAAATAGCTAGAAACCCTTTGACTTCTCTAAACCTCAGTTGTATTCATTTACAAAAAGGAGAGAATAGTGCCCACCTTGCAGTACTGCTATGTGGACAAAATGAACTGATAGTGTACAGGGGTTGTGAAAACTGAAGGATCACATCCTTGCTTGGCTGTTGCCTGATTACCCTTTCTCTGCCAGCTGACAATCTCTCCTTTCAATGAACTACATTTAAGATATTGCCTTTGCTTGTTAGCGACTGGTGACAATATGTAATATGAGTTATGGATGCACAGATTGCCTGGGTGGAATGCCCGTGAAATGCTCTAGGACAGAGAGTCTTAACCCCCAGGCCACAGAATGGTTCATGGTCTGTTAGGAACCAAGCCACACAGCAGGTTGTGAGCAGCAGGTGAGTGAGCAAACTTTCATCTATATTTATAGCCACTCCCCATCACTGGCATTACCACCTGAGCTCTGCTTCCTGACACATCAGTGGCAGCATTAGATTCTCATAAAAGCGCAAACCCAACTGCGAACTGTGCACATGAGGGATCAAGGTTGCATACTCCTTATGAAAATCTAATGCCTGATAATCTGTCTCCTATCACCCCCAGATGGGACTATCTAGTTGCAGGAAAATAAGCTCAGGGCCCTCACTGATTCTACATTATGAGGAGTTGTATAATTATTTCATTATATATTAGAATATATGCAAAATAAATGTAATGTGCTGGAATCATCCCAAAGCCAATCCCCGACCCCAGTCCTTGGAAAAATTGTCTTCCATGAAATCAGTCTGTGGTGTCAAAAAGGTTGGGGACTGCTACTCTAGGGGATGCCATGACCCCCAGGTCACATCTTACCTATGACCATCTCAGCACCAAATCCTATGTGTGGTTCTCTTAAGTCTACAGTTTTCCTTTGTTCTATTGTAATCCATATATTGAAATATTACACCATATAAAACCTAGTGTAGGAACATAGAGGAAATGTTTACCAAAACAACTGGAATATAAAGCAAATGATTACCTGCCTCTGTCAGGGAGAGTCAAATTACAAAATTCAGAACAAGGCACGTTCTATAGAATTTCATCTTTGTGGCTACTGCCAATTACCTTGAAAAGTTTATGACAGAGAGATCCTCGTTTTCCTTAAGAATGTATACTTAAAAGATGTATACTATCATTCTAAAACTTCACTTTTCCAAAACAAAGGCCAGAAAATTTAATCTTCATCCTTTATCAAATATCTTTTTTTTTTTTTTTTTTTTTTTTGAGACGGAGTATCGCTCTTGTTACCCAGGCTGGAGTGCAATGGCGCAATCTCGGCTCACCGCAACCTCCGCCTCCTGGGTTCAGGCAATTCTCCTGCCTCAGCCTCCTGAGTAGCTGGGATTACAGGCACACGCCACCATGCCCAGCTAATTTTTTTGTATTTTTAGTAGAGACGGGGTTTCACCATGTTGACCAGGTTGGTCTCGATCTCTTGACCTCGTGATCCACCCGCCTCAGCCTCCCAAAGTGCTGGGATTACAGGCTTGAGCCACCGAGCCCGGCCCAAATATCTTTTTTTCACTAGATAAAAATATATTCCCTTCCAGGAAAACAAAAAGTTTCAAATTAGAAAAAAATCTAAACATATGAAACTTTATCAAAAAGAGAAGAATGTTATTTGGCTTTACAATGTCTTAAAGTTGGTACCCACCTCTGTTTTAATACTCTTTGGTCAATTAGTCCATCTTCAAGGTTTTCAGATGGATAGAAAGATGGCATCTGCTCCCCATGGCTGACTGGACTGCAGGTCTCTTCATCCCTGTTACTAAGAAAGAAGAGGTGGGTCAGGCACTATTCAACAGGAGACATGACCACTGATCTCACAGCAGCTCCGAGGGTAGCACCAGCCCAGAGTAAACATCATAGTCTGTGTCCACTTCCAAGTTCCACATTAAAGTCCTGACTAACAGAATGGAAAGAAGGCCCCTCTGGCATCTTCTAATTCAGTGGTTCCTATGTGCCAGGAGGTGGACTAATACCAGTTCATAATGTTGTTTCCACCAATCTATCTTATTTTTAAATGGCATGAAGACAATATTTTCCTTTATGAAATGATGATGATCGTAGAATGTATCTTTTTTAGTGAATATTCTTATTTGGCAAAATTAAATGGTAAACTCCATCAGATCCCCACTCTGCTCTCTGCCATTTTGGGAGACATTTTGTTATCTGTGAAATCTCATGATCTTAGAAACACACTCTGCTAACTCCCTCATTTTCCAAGTAATGCAACTGAGGTCTAGAAGGGAAAGCAACTACTGGCGAGCTACTCAGTAGCAGTGCCATGATTTGAACTCAGTTTTTCACCTTCCTGCCCAGTGATTTTTCTACCAGTTTCAACAAGAACAACAACCAAAAAGTAACTGCTAATATGCCCACCTGTGTCATATCCCCATCATTTGCTGAGGTATAAACAGGATGCTAAATATCCTGCCCAGATGTGGCCTACAAATCCTTTTCAAAATAACATGCCAGACCAGGTGTGGTGGCTCTGTAATTTCAGTACTTTGAGAGGCCAAGGCGGGTGGATCACCTGAGGTTAGGAGTTTGAGACCAGCCTGGCCAACATGACAAAAACCCATCTCTATTGAATATACAAAAATTAGCTGGGCATGGCGACAGGCATCTGTAATCCCAGCTACTCAGGAAACTGAGGCAGGAGAATTACTTGAACCTGGGAGGTGGAGGTTCCAGTGAGCTGAGATCACCCCATTGTACTCCAGCCTGGGCAACAAGAGTGAAACTCCACTAAAAAAAAAAAAAAAGAAAAAGAAAAAAGAAAACATGCCAGGTGTAAACCAAAAATAAAATTCTAAGCCCCCCACCCCGACCCCCCAATCTGAATGGACTCCTCCTCTCAGCTAAAGGCATTCCAAAATTAACTTGAAAAACAAGATCAGGCCATGATGGGAAGGGAAGGTTGAACATACCTCATTATACTCTCATCCCTTTTAGAATTCAGGAAAAGATGACTGACATTAATATCAACACAGACCTCAAGTCTGATAAGAAACACTTATGGTCTAGTCTCTCTGAAGCCGGTTACCTGGTTACCTGGAGGCTTCATCTGCATGATAAAACCTTCATCTATACAACCCCTTATCATAACCCAGACATTCCTTTCTATTGATAGTAACTCTTCCAATCAATTGCCAATCAGAATTTTTTTTTTTTTTTAAGACAGAGTCTCACTCTGTTGCCTAGGCTGTAGTGTGGTGGTGCAATCTTGGCTCACTGCAACCTCCGGCTTCCAGGTTCAAGCAATTCTCCTGCCTCAGTCTCCTGAGTAGCCTGAACTACAGGCACCTGCCACCATGTCCTGTTTTGTGCTTTTAGTAGAGACGGAGTTTCACCATGTTGGTCAGACTGGTCTTGAACTCCTGATCCCAACTGATCTGCCCGTCTTGACCTCCCAAAGTTGTGGGATTACAGGCATGAGCCACTGTGTCCAGCTGCCAATCAGAAAAATTTTAAATCTACCTGTGACTTTGAAGCCTCAACATTTTTTTTTTTTTTGAGATGGAATTTTGCTATTGTTGCCCAGGCTGGAGTGCAATGGCACAATCTTGGCTCACCACAACCTCCGTCTCCCAGGCTTAAGCAATTCTCCTGCCTCAGCCTCCTGAGCTCCAGCTTTGGATTGTCCTGCCCTTCCGGTTCAAACCAATCTAAATTCTTACACTGATTCATGTCTTATATCTCCCTAAAACGTATAAAAGCCAGCTGTACTGACTGCATTGGGCACATGTCATCAGTGCCTCCTGAAGCTATGTCATGAGTGCATCCTTAACCTTGGCAAAATAGACTTCTAAATTGATTGAGACCCGTCTCAGGTACTTTTGAGTTCACACAGGCAACCACTAGCCCTTAAAGGGAATCTGCACTCAAATGGAAACCTATCTGCTATCTCTGATCTAGAATGCCATCACAGACTCCCTAGAACGAACCTAAAGTATCATTTATTCTACCTACTTCATTTTACAGTTGAAGAAACTAAAGCTAAAAGGGGTCAGACAAATCTCCAAGGCTAAATGAGGAGCTAATATCACAACAGGGGGTTGAAATCAGCTGTTTTGATACCTACCTTCAGGGTGCTTTTGTACACCAAGTTTCCTTTATTAAACACTCTCTAAAGGGGTTTAATTAAACAGTGTATTCTCATGCCTCTTTCTACTGTCATTCCCACTTGATGATTGTCAAGTAACAACATAATTAATAAATATATTTGACAATAAGCAAATATAACCAACAAGGATTTCAAATAAAATATAAACCGATAAGTATTTTCTTCTCACATGTGATTGTAGTTCTGTATTAGAATAATCTAAATACAAGACAACCCAAATCCCTAAGTGAGTCAGCTGCTTACGGACAGAGTGAAAAGTCCCCACTCATAAATCCCCAGGCAAATGATGTTCCCAGTCCTGGCCACATTTGAAACTAGCTTTCTTAACCAAGTTAACCAAGTTTCATATTTAACACAGGACTATTTCAGTCTGGGAGAAAAATGACTAATTTGCTTAAAGATTGTGATACTCCTAACATCAGTGCGAATTAAAGAGGAGTTAAGTGCCATATTACTTTTCACAATGTCCAGATGAAGAAACAGGAATGCCAACATTTAATATAATCAATACAAGTCAGTAGTAGAACTGGGAATGAAGCCCAGGTTTTCTGGCACTTCAGCCAGTTCTCTTTTAGTTGAGAACATTATAAATTAATTTGCAGTGGAAACAAGACTGTCTGTTTTCTTCTAAAAGAAAGAAAGATTTTAAAAATTTAATTTTACACATACATATATTGCCTTAGAAATATCAAGATTGCAGTCAATGGAAGGGAACTTCCAGCTCAAAAGTCCTACTCAACCCAAAATGCAAGGAAATAACTTTGATCTCTCTTTCAGTTTCCCACCCTTCCTTTGGGAAGGAGTAAAAGCTTGCAATGGGAACTTCATCAAAAGTTTCATGTTCAAGAGTATGATCTTTTACATAGATAAGCCAAAACAGTGTTTAGAAGTCCTTCAAATAAATCAGTTAGGGATTGGGTGAAGCAGCTCTTGCCTATAATCCCAGTGCTTTAGGAGGCTGAGGCAGGAGGATGGCTTGAGGCCAGGATTTGGAGACCAGCCTGGGTAACATAGTGAGAACACCATTTCTTATAAATTAGTCAAATGTGGTGTTGAGTGCCTGTAATCCCAACTACTTGCGAGGCAGAAATAGGAGAATTGCTTGAGCCCAGGAATTCAAAGCTGCAGTGAGCTATGATCCTGCCACAGCACTCCAGCCTGGGGAATAGACTGAGACCTATCTCTATCAAAACCGACACAAAACCAAAAAGTTTTTTTTAATCAATTAGAATTTCCTGTCCAGCTCTATACACCACCCCTTCAAGGCTACCAGCTCCCTTCCATGTCCCAAATATTAAAATATTCTAGAAATAAACTTGATTATGCCAGTTCTCTACGATTATATTACTTATCAAAGAGAAACAGAGAAATCTCTGTTATTACCAATTTAATCTCAAAAAACTCAAAGTAAAAACATAGAATAGACTTTATCAATCATCACAGTCTTTAAAATGTATTCATAGTTCCACAACAAATATTTAATCTTGGAAACCTTACAAAAAATCTTGAAAATAGGAAAATTAAATCAGAATGGCCAAAATGATCCCAGGGCATAGATGGATGTGTAAAATGAAATTTTTAATCTTATAAATCCTGTTATCCTTTCTTTCCATTGCAGAAGTCAGTGATTAAAAAACAAACAAAACCATCTCCAAACTTCAGAGTTTTTATCTGCCACCACTGATTTTTTGACATGATTTTTTGGGGTGTTTTATGGTGCTCATTATTCCAAGGATACTCTTAAAAAATTAGAAAACTCATGTGGCAATAAAGTGTTTAGCAAATTACATCGTAAAGGCATCTAGAGAAGAGTATAAATTTGTTACTCTAAGAAATCCTTGGAAAAGAAATAGTTTTGGGAAAAGCAAAGGAGCAGTCAAGATGCCTTCCCCAAACCCTGATTTTAAAACCAGAGAAACCAGAGCGGCAGCAGCCCCTTTCTCCTTGTGTTACATGTCTATCTCACCTGCTTGTTCCACAGCATTTTATATAGAACCTCCCTGTCTATAGAACTTCCCTGATGATTGGAACCACTGTTTAAAAAGTGGTGAATAAAAAATGTTTCTTGATTCTTAAAATTTTACAGTGTCCTTTGCTCAAATATTAGAAATACTGTACATACAATCGAGCTGAAAATAGTCACAGTTTTCAAAGGGCGTTAAACCCCAAATGTCATGCTCTAGCCATCACTGGGAAAGCTTAGGAAAAAAAATAAGGCCATTTATGAACAGACTCACTCTCGGGCTGCTTCTGTTTGCATGACCAGGGCTGCCTCTTTGGGGTTTTCAGGGGACTTCAGTCCTTGAGTGTTCTGCTTGTATTTTTTAATTAAATCCATCAGAACAGCCTGATGCCCAATTTTCTTTACCAGTTGCTGAACCATCCGATCATTAAGTGCAAGGAGAGCAGCCCCACTTACTTCTTCCTCTGGGAAAAAGAAAAAAAAAAAAGTTTCTACATGACTTTCTGGTAAAACACAGGCATTCTGAAGAAGCAAAGTTATCTCTAGTGACAAAAGGATCATCTAAACTTGTCCCCTGCCATTATAAATTTATCCATAGTTTTAACAAAGATAGAATTCTGATGTTGCATTATTCCAAATCTATGCCTGCTTCTAAGAAAGTGCCAGAACATGGCATCACAATAAAAACTTACAGTTTCTACATTAACACCCTCCCCATTCTGGTTCTCTCTTACAGGCATTGTTTCATCTTAGGAAATTATTCTTCATAATAGTTCCTATCCAATATGTAAGCTTGTAAACCCAACACTACAAAAAATATATACTGTATTATTTAATAACAAAAGCGATATTAAAGGCGTATATCAAATATGCATTTTAAGCAACCCTTAAGACTTTATTCGAGTTCTTGACATATTATATTCTCCTGTGGACGTTACTTTCAAATAGAAATTCTACTACGGTCCATGAAGAAATGAAAAGTTCTCTACTGTAGCAACTCCACATCCACATTTACATGCACACAGACATTTGGCAACAAAAGTAATTTTCAATAACAGAGGACATCAGAAGATCTAGGCTGATCAATTAAAATTTTTGGAAAGTATAAACAACTCACCTTGAAACCTCTGAACTAGCTCTCCTAAATTTTTCTCCACCAACCAACTGCAGACCTGTTCAACTGACCAGGTTTCCATTGCTGTCTCCTGTAAATACACCTGTAGAGCAAAAGGTCAGAGAATTCTCCAGCTTTTCTTTCTGACCCTGCCTTAATTTTTTTTTTTTTAACAATCAGCCCCTTCCTTCCTTTGCTAGACTCCTTTAGACTCTCAGTGTTAAGCTTTATAAAACTTACTATTTTTACAATGCACATTTAAAAACTGCTAACAAAACACACACTCATTTTAAATGTAAGACCCGATTTAACCTATTTTCTAGTATCTCATTTCTCAAATTTCTTCACCTTCTCCTACTTTTTTTCCATAGGCATCCCGAAGCTTTACTAACAGCCAGCCAGAGCCTTACAATGGTACCCAATCCTGTACCATTAACACCCAGGTTTCTTCACAAAGAAAAGAAAGGTGTGAAATTCACCACTACTAGGCTTCTGAGGAAGTGGTTGACATTTACAGAAGGGGTGGGCAGGAGAGGAAGAGAGGAAGGATCAGATAAAAGCCTGACAGAGATACTTAGTAAACCAAGACTGGTTAACCCCTTGCTTCTCCTAGCTAGGTGAAGGAGCTTGGAACTTACTGCTTCTCATTGTTTTGGTTTAGCAAGAGGAGAAAGTAGGACCCAAATTTCTCAGGAGAATCTGAATGTTCCTGTCCTTCCTTCCAATAATACTCGTATATATCCCTCTTAGTTCTAGAACTTTCTTGGACACTGTTATGAGTGGTAAGATAACTAGGATAAACTACCAAGTAGATTGAAAACTTTTTACTTAATTGGGCAGATTCAAATTGGAAAATAATTAAATATGTTAATAATCATAATAATCATTGTGAAAGAAGCATATGCAAAGTGTGCAAGATATATTCTTCAACTGTTTCAGTTATTTTTGCATGCCACTTGTCTCCAACCACTAAGAAAACTTAAAACTATTTCCCCAAGGAAGCTTATTCCTTGATTTTGTAATTCAATCCAAAGGACTTCTGATGGACTTGGAGGCGGGTGCGGTGAGGGGGGTGGTGTGGAAGGGTGGGGTGGGATGGGTGGGTGGAGGGAGAAACTGAAATAAATTTAGAACATTTAACCTTTTAACATTACATGGCAATTTCAAATTACAATCTAAATGATATACATTTACTTGAACATTAAGATACTGACTATTCTATACAGACCAAGGAAAAAGCTACTTATGGAGAAATGGAATCGTAAGGAAAGATAAAAATACTTATTAATCGTGTATTTAAATTTTATCGATGGAAGTTCTAAAAAGAACTGTTATCGCATTTTTCATTTTTGGATTTTTAAGTAAGTTACAATTACCAACATCATAGTTAGAATAGTAGAAAAGGGGAAAGATGTTTACCTTGCATATGTAACAAGCTGGAAAGATAGTCTTCAAGAATCATTTCCTAGAAAACAGTTTGACTTCAAAGTAATAAGCCTCATACTCATAAGTATTCACAAACACCAAGCTGAAAAATCGAAAACAAGGGTTAAATATAGAAGAACATCTTCCTGCATTTCAGCAGTGCATTTAATTTGCTATGACAAACAGTAGCCATAGAACTCCTCCCCTAGGCTAAGCAGCAATAGCAGGGTGTGAAAAGTCATTATTTGCGAGACTCTGGTGTAAATTAAAAATCACGCCTTTCTGTCACACTTCTGGTTTCCTTGTGAAGAGTAGGTCTTAGGGAAAAAATAGAAAATAAAGAAAAAATAAAACAATTCTCTAAACTCTAAGATTTAAAAGGTATGCAGAGCAGAAGATACTGCCTTGTAGCCATCGATGGATAAAAGGAAATTTGAAAAAAAAAGGAGTACTTGGAAATGATCACGTATTTTTTTAACTTGCGGATTCTTACTACAATTCTACTTCTGGGAAAAACAAAACAGGTTAAATTATAACCTCATACAAACATAATAAAATAAAAAAGCATATAGTTTTGCCTATTAGCTTTTCTGGGGAGTTAATAAAACAATATCACTGGCCAGACAATGTACACATCTTTGAGCAGTAATGGTACAACTTTGGATATATTATTTATGATCTTCTACACCATGAAGGCACAAATTATATATCAGATGAGAAAAGATATATCTGGTAGCTTTGTTCTGAGCTCCAGAAATATTTGAAAATATTTCAAAATGTGAAGGCAAGCATTATTCCTAAATAGTTGAAGACACAATAATTTTTAGGAAGAATTAATAATCACATTATTAATGCTAAACCATTCTTATTATTTGATTGAATTGTAAAACAAGAAAAATAATTTTATAAAGTATTAAAGGGCTTCATCTAACTAAAGCCAAGAAGAGGTAAGACTTTAGCTAAAGCAGCCTAAATATGGGCAAGTTTTGTTTAACAAATTTGTTAAAATTACAGGAAGATAATAGGGCCACCTGCTGTGAGCGTGATTTATCATCTTCAGGGGGCAATCTAATGTATAGAACATCATATAAAACATGTAAAAACATGAACCACAAAAGAGTACTTTTAAGGAAAATATGAACGCTTTTTGTCATCTTTCTTTCTATTTGCATTTTTAGTTTTGTCTTCTGAAGTCCAAAAGCTGGGACAACAAAAGATTCTTAAAGTTTTGCTGGCAGCATATGCCCTCTCCTGGATGAATACCTCATTCTGCCCTGAGAAAAAGTATCTCTTTCATACCATGGCTGAAGTTGAAGGGACAAACCATTGATCAAATATCAGTTCCTGTTGGTAAAAAAAGAAGGAAAATTGAGGTACAAAAATAAGGGGCTGGGCACCATGACTCACGCCTATAATCCTAGCACTTTGGGAGACCGAGGTGGGTGGATCACGAGGTCAGTAGTTCAAGACCAGCCTGGCCAAGATGCTGAAACCCTGTCTCTAATAAAAATACAAAAACTTAGCCGGGAGGTGTGGTAGGTGCTTGTAAATCCAGCTACTCAGGAGGCTGAGGCAGGGAATCTCTTGAACCCAGGAGGCGGAGGTTGCAGTGAGCTGAGATTGTGCCACTGCACTCCAGCCTGGGCAACAGAGAGACATTCTGTCTCAATAATAATAATAATAATAATAATAATAATAATAATAAGAAGAAGAAGAAGAAGTATGTGGCTGTCACATACAACAATGTCTGGGCAATTCTCTTGGGTAGCAGCCTTGCTACCACTGGAGGCGATAGTGTTGTATAACTCTCTCTCCTTAGTTCAGCTAGGAGCTGAGTTCTTGTCACCTGGTCATGAAATAATAGCTCTAGGCTTGCAGACACTTTGAAGGATGAGAAAACGGAATTTATCGGGCCAAAAGGAATAAAAGGGGAAACAGGGGCTCCTAGCAGAGGGAGAATCCTGATAGTAGATGCTTCCCACATCGAAGATTGAATTCCAAGTTTATCGAAGATTGAATCCCACACCAGAACAAGGGAGGCCAGGTCCTCCCTGCTGCAAATGGCACAAAATTCTGTGGCTCCACCCCATTCTCTCAGTGCACAGGCTGGTCAGGTGTTTCAAAAGCAGCATGGTGTTCCAATAGAACATAACATCTCATTCACTATGACGTGATATTCTTCCCACCATCACCAGAACACATGAAATAAAAACTGAAATATTCAACTCAAATACCTTGCATACGCTAGTCACCAAGATGTTTACTGCCTAGATAGATAGCTCAAAGTGGAGTGGATGATGATACACTAAAGAAGTTACAAGCCTTACTAAGAAGATAGGATACATAGATAAGCAGAATATGATACACGGCCAATTATAATGGGTGCTTTAGAAAGCACTGTGGGGCTAGATTTTCCCACAGTCTCCTGGAAGCAAATGGATCTTGATTTGGAATTAAATAATGGACGTATTGTAGATACCAAAGAAACTGGAGAAAGCAGGATCAATATAATGAACTCAAAGTAGAAACCCAGAAATATGTGAGTCACATTTTGGAACCTCAGGGAGTACCATGCTTCCTGGAATAGGAACCCCATAGTAAGGAGCTAGAGGAGACAGAGTCTGAAGACCACAGAAAGGCTTAGAAAGTTAAGAGTTTACAGATGTACTTAAGCTTGGGAGGGTCATTGAACCGAGAGTATGTTCCATGCTTTAAAAAGATGATTTAGGCAGCTGAGTCAAATAAATGACAGAAAAGCATTATTTCTTGAAGCAAGCTGTGTATGAGATGGAAGGGCTTAACCTTTACTAAACATCCATATGTGCACCAATTTTCCTCTGTCTTAGAAAACAGATATTTATATTAATCTTTTAAACATTTGACGACCCAACTATTAATTTTTTTCATATATCATGGTCTGAAAGGGAGTGACAGCTACAAAGTTAGCAGATACCAAGCAAGTGAAACACACCAAAAGGGGCTGTGTGTATCCATTATGCTGAACCATATGAAACAGCCATTTTTTTTTAATTATAAGGATTTATTTTTCATTAAAATTTTTTTTTTTTAATTTCCATGGGTTATTGGGGAACAGGTGGTGTTTGGTTATGTAAGTTCTTCAGTGGTGATTTGTGAGATTTTGGTGCACCCATCACTGGAGCAGTATATACTGCACCCAATTTGTAGTTCTTTATCCCTCACCCCCTTCCCCACCCTTTCCCAAAGTCCATTGTGTCATTCCTATGTCTTTGCATCCTCATAGCTTAGCTCCCACTTATGAGTGAGAACATATGATACTTGGTTTTTCCATTCCTGAGTTACTTCACTTAGACTAATAGTCTCCAGTCTCATCCAGGTTGCGGTGAATGCCATTAATTCATTCCTTTTTAGGATTGAGTAGTATTCCATCACATAAATACATACCACAGTTTGTTTATCCACTTGTTGATTCATGGGCATTTGGGCTGGTTCCACATTTTTGCAATTGCAAATTGTACTGAAACAGCCATTTTTGTATATATGAGAATCTAAGATCAGTATTTCCTATGGCCGAAGTTATTAAAATCTTACTCTTGTAAAAATTAATGTCTTTGTTGGTTCTTTTTATCTAGCAAGACTTACCAGAGTTGTCTGTAATTCACAACACCTCCGATAAATTTGAAGACTGTTGTGAACACAGTCACAGTAACTTAAATTTCATATTGTTATATTTTCAAAGAAACTGAACACCAACTTATCTGGGAGGTTTAGTTAAATTAATGAACAAAAATAGCAATAAGCCACAATCCCAGACCTTTGGAACTTTTGTGTCACAAACACCCTGATCTTTTGGGCTTCGAGTCAAACTTATAGTTTATCCCTGCTTCTGTTTTGACAGCCAAAGCTCATGGTTCCGCAACACAGACTACAATCCTATGGATTTTTGCCAGAGATGGTAACTGTTAACTGTGTTATCAAATTTTATCAAAAGCTGGATGTGTGACTGAGAAGTCTTGTTAGTTTGAAGATGTCAATTCCTTCAGAATTAATTTATAAATTCCAGTTAATATACATACGTGGTTATCTGTTTCACTATGAGGCTAGTTTTTGTATGGAAGAATACATAGGTTTTTAAAATTCTTATTTATTCTTATTTAAATGCTTGGCAAAAGGACTTGCACTTTCAGATGTTAAAAAGTGTTATACTATTAACAGCATGGTACTGGAGGAAAAGAGAGAAGATATTGAAACAGAATAGAAACTTAGAAATATTCATATGGAAGTACTGAAAAGATCATTAACATTGGTGATGAAGAAGGTATTAGTCAATACATTTTGTTGGGATAATACCTTATAACACCTACACAATAAATTCCTCAGAAAAATTAAATATGTAAATATGAAAAATTAAAAAGGATTTAAAATCATCTAAGATTATATGATAAAAATAAAATATTGATAGATTTGACTAAGAAGGAAAAACGCATGTGTATACATATTTATTACAGCAGACCCTTGAACGACAAGGGGTTGGGATGCTGACTCCACCATGCAGTTGAAAATTTGCATATAACTTTTGACTACCCATAAACTTAACTACTAATAGCCTACTGTTGATCAGAATTTTAACTGATAACACATAATCGATTAACACATATTTTGTATATGTATTATACACAGTATTGTTACCATAAAGTGTGTTAGAGAAAAGAAAACGTTATTAAGCAAATAACAAAAAAGAGAAAACATATTTACTATTTATTATGTGGAACTGGATCATCATAAAGATCTTTATACTCATCGTTTAATGTTGAGTAGGCTGAGGAGGAGGAAGGGGAGAGTTGGTCTTGCGGTCTCAGGGGTGGCAAAGGCGGAAGAAAATCTGCATGTAGGTGGAAATATGCATGAACCTGAGAGGTTCCAGTGCATGTTGTTCAAGGGTCAACTCTACATTCTGTAAAAGCAACTAAAAAAATCAATATACCAATAGGAAAAAGAATGGGAATAGGCAACTCGAACAAAATTTTAAATCAGTATCTAAAAATATATCACATTATTTGTAATAAAAATAATTAAATACCACTTTCATTTATTCCTTTGGAAAATGGGAAAATGAGCAAGTGTGCGGGGTCGAATGCTCTCTTACACATTGCTAAGGGGAGGAGAAAGTGGTACAACTCTGTCATGTGATTCCCATTTGATAGTTGAAAGTCCTGGAGTTTATAGAGTAACTCGCCTAAGGTTTCTTTGCTTGTAAAGGTGAAAGTGATTTGAATCCAATCTATCCAACTTTAAACGGTACTAATGTAAGCCAAAAACATTAAAAATATTTCTGGCCAGGCGCGGTGGCTCAAGCCTGTAATCCCAGCACTTTGGGAGGCCGAGGCGGGTGGATCACAAGGTCAAGAGATCGAGATCATCTTGGTCAACATGGTGAAACCCTGTCTCTACTAAACATACAAAAATTAGCTGGGCATGGTGGCGCGTGCCTGTAATCCCAGCTACTCAGGAGGCTGAGGCAGGAGAATTGCCTGAACCCAGGAGGCGGAGGTTGCAGTGAGCCAAGATCGCACCATTGCACTCCAGCCTGGGTAACAAGAGTGAAACTCCTCCTTAAAAAAAAAAAAAAAATTCTACATTCTGACCCCAAAATAGCATTTCTAGGAATTTGCCAAGAGACATTAGCAGAAGTGAACACAAAGATGTGTGTCATAGCAATAGTCAGAATAGCAAAGAAATTGGACAGACAAAATTTCCAGCAATAGGAATTGGCCAGTGAATTACAGTCATTTATATTTAAAATAAAATACTATGTAGTAATTAAAAATTGTTATCTAGAAAAATAACAGCGTAGAGAGAAACAGTCATGGAATGTGGTTAATTGAAAATAGATTTAAAATAGTATGATTCAGTTTTGTGGAAAGAATAAAACAAAAGTAGAATGAAATGCTTGGTTACACAAAGACCGGGAAAGCATGTATCAGAAGGCAGAAGTAGCAATCTCTGTTTGGAGGAATTAATGTTCCTCATTTGTAATCTGCTACTCTCAAATTTTTCTCGTTGAAAGAATTTTATCTTATTATCAGAAAAGTTAGAGTTTTATAGAGAAAAGGTAAAACGTGATATTTATAGGTTATTGCTGGAGAGACTTTTGGTCTATCTCTTCTTCTAGATCAGAAGATCAAAGGAGAGAGTACCTCCTCCTCCAGGCAAATCTAATCAGTGGATGTGGTTCTAGTTACTTTGTTCTATCTGAAAAATGGAAGATCTCACCTACAAATCTGGAATCTTGGTTTCTCTTGAAAAATCAAAAGTTCTTGTGATACTGGGTTCATATTTCAGAATGACAGCAACTGAGTAGTGGCTGCCCCATTGAAAGACAGCAAGACTGGGAGCCAGCCTCACAGTTCACAGGAAGCCTGAGAAAAGTTTGAAACAGGATGGATCTCAGACAGCTAACATTTCCACCTCTCAAAGGAAGAAGGTTCTGATAGGCGTGGCAAATACCCATGTATGTACATACATGTTCACAATAATATATCTTTGACTACACTTAATTCTTTCTTAGTTATTTTCTAAACTACTAGAAGAAATAACACTAACCAGAAAAAAATTTGCTACATTAGTCTTAAGGCAGATATAATAATAATGTGTTCGAATGTAGATGCTGAATTCAAAGTCAAGGACTCAAAGCTTTGTATCTCAGAAGGCTCTAGTGTCTTGAGGCTTCATTTTCTTTGTAGCTACATCATTGAACTAAAATGCACAAACCTTTATTCAGCACAGACATTGGCTGAATGTAATTCCTGTCGCATAGCTCAATGTGTATGTGATAGTGCAGGTGAGAATTGCACATTTTATAGCTCTGAATAGTGGCAAGAACTTACATTATTAAAATATTGCAGTTATAAGTTATTAAGCTATTTCCTTGGAGCTACTCATTTGTTAGAACACATGACAGGTGATTTCTGTATTTGCCTATATATTGCTCAGCTGGTAGAGTCAAGCTGGCTTCTCTCAGTCAGTGCTGGTCTGACTTTGTAGACCTCTTCAGGAAGAAGACGACACAAGGTAGTGGATCTTCTAATGCGGTGTGACTCAAAGTGAAAGGGGTGTCTTGGAACTGCACTTGCAGGGCATGCCATGGGAGTGACTGGCTTTTTCGGTGCCCTGCAGCACAGACTCCTACGGGGAGCGTGCAGACCGGCAGGTCATGGGGAGTGTGGGCTCTGACCCCATCGCAGGGCGTGCGTGGCTCGCTTCTTTGGTGCCTTGCAGCTCAAACCCCTAGGGGGGAGCATGCAGACTGGCAGGTCATGGGGAGTGTGGGCTCTGACCCCATGGCAGTGCCTAGGGGTTAGTGTTTACAGCTCCCGAAGCCCCAGTGGGAGTGTGTTACAGTGTTTCAGCTTAGCCATCCATAGGTAGCTTGTGCTAATCACCTTAATTAGACCCTCTCCCTTATAGAGGACAGAGGGCTTTCTGGATCCCAAGGTATTTGCCTTAATGTACCAGAAAAGTTGGATCACGTGTGGGCTTGGAGAACGCGTGCACAGTTTTATTGAGTGGTGGAAGTAGCTCTCAGCAGATGGATGGGATCCACAAGGGGGATGGAGTGGGAAGGTGGTCGTCCCCTGGAGTGGGGCTGCTCAGTGGCTGGACTCTCCTCCAACCTGACAAATTCCACGTCGTCCACGTCGTTCTGCTATCAATAGCCTGCCAGAGTCGGTCAGTGTGCTCCGCTGGTGTGTTCCTCTTGACATCCAGCCGCTTGTATCTGTGCCTGCTAGGGTCTCAGGGTTTTCATAGACACAGGATAGGGATGTGGCGGGCCATGGTCTTGGAAAATGCAACATTTGGGTGTGAAAACAGGAGTGCCTGCCCTCACTTAGGTCCATGGGTACAGGCCTGAGGGTGGAGCCCTAGCTAGGGACCCCACCCTTCTCTACCCAGTTCTTCCCTGGCCACCTCCCGTATCAAAAGCACCGATGCGAGACAGAAACAAAAAAAGGCATGGGACCCCGTGATTCTCCTGTAAGACTGGTACAGGATGAGTGACAGATGCTCATGCTTCTGCCAGCCTTAGGTTCATGTGAGGACAGGCCAGAATGTTCAAAGTTCTTGCTGACACAGAAGCACTGTTTTTAGAAAGCTAGTTCAAAAGGTAAAATTCATACCAATTGGTAGGCTATAGTCCATTATTCAGTATGAGACTGTATGTTTGAATTTGTATGTTTGAATTTGTGTGTTTGTTAGAGAGATAGAGACAGATGGAGAGCCGTATTGAGCAAGAGAGTGAGTGAGCATGGGGAAGAAAGTAAGGAGGAGAGGAAAAGGTTATGTGAATGATAACAAGTAAAAAATAATGTTACCAAAACACCAGGGGTTCAGTCTAAGTCTTGCTGTTTGTTGCATACAAAGCCAATGACAATGCATATTGCCAAGGAAGATGGCAATACTCCCACCCAGGAGATGGGAGTGCAGTCTCAAATCCATCGTCCTGATCAACTAAAATTAGGGGTTTATAGAGCAGGGAAGAAATGTTAACTATGTATAAAAAAGCAGGAAAGTGGCCGGGCGCGGTGGCTCAAGCCTGTAATCCCAGCACTTTGGGAGGCCGAGGCGGGTGGATCACGAGGTCGAGAGATCGAGACCATCCTGGTCAACATGGTGAAACCCCGTCTCTACTAAAAGTGCAAAAAAATTAGCTGGGCATGGTGGCACGTGCCTGTAATCCCAGCTACTCAGGAGGCTGAGGCTGGAGAATTGCCTGAACCCAGGAGGCGGAGGTTGCGGTGAGCCGAGATTGCGCCATTGCACTCCAGCCTGGGTAACAAGAGCGAAACTCCGTCTCAAAAAAAAAAAAAAAAAAAAAAAAAAAAAAAGCAGGAAAGTGAGGAGGGATAAGGAAGCAATTGCAATGAATGAGAGAGGCTGGTATCTCATTATCTGGATCTGGTGAGATTCAAGCTTTAAAACCTGAAGCGTTAATTTTTATGTTTATTAAGGAAAACTGTTTATGGGACTACTGGATCAGTTTTAGTAAGATAGTCATATTAGAATAAAGACTGTAAGGATTATAATAACATAGAGCTTTCCTCTTTAGATTGTTCCATGGTAAACATATTTTTTAAAATCCTTACCTTTCTCTTAACTATCGTCCTACTCACTTCTGCCATTCTTTGATTCTATTTGGGAACAAATGGGGCACACCAAGTTACAGGTGAAAGTAATTGGAAGAAGAGAAAAAAGAATTATTCGTATGTTAGGTCATCCACAAAAGCTTAAGAAATGAGAAAAGTCCGTAGGCCAAAAACTAACTTGTCATTGTAAACGCCTTGGCACTTGGCAGCTTGAAAAATGCTTGCTTGGGCACTTGTTCCTGGTAATGTGCTAAGGAGAGGTGCCTACGGAAATTGAGCGGTTAGCCTGCTATTGGCTTAATCCTGGCTCCATTGTCTTCTGATCACATCACCCTTCTAATCTAATTGATCTGATCACTTGTTGAGTTATCTCATTCAGTTGTTCTCTGTCTGGTGTAGTTTTCTATCCCCTGTTGCAAAAGTATCTGCAGTAACTCAGGACATCACTGGTTTTCCCAGGAAGGGGTATTCGTGAAGCTGTCCTCTTACCTTTCTGGAGGGCCTGATGGGCAGACTGGAGCTGGAGGTTTTATTGGAGGGTGCAGAGGTTGCTGCTGATCTCCTGCATTTCTCTCTGCTGAACTCTGAATTCAGAATTCTACTTTTTATAAAGTATTTTTAAACTTACCTAATATAAAAGCAAGGGGTGTGCTTCATGAAAATATTGATTCCTAAGCCCTTTCTCAGAAGATTCTGATTCAGTGGGTGGAGTGAGTTCCCTTAGTGAGTATTTCTAATCGTTACCACTGATTCTTATGATCAGCCAAGTTTGAGGAGCAATTGAAAGATTTATTATGATTTATTTCCAATGTACAGAGCCCTATAGGTCAAAGTTCACAAACCATCCCCAAATGTCATTATGCACAAATTATATCATTGAGAAATTTGTATAATACTTTATATAAATTAGTATGCACATCACTGAAATTAAAGTAGCAATACTATATTTACAAGGATTTTTCATAAAGCTGAGGAAGTAAAATATGAGTAATTTGATTTTTTTTACATTTAAATAAATTGTGCAAAATTACAGATAATGTAAAATTTACAATATTAACCCTTTTTGAGGATACAATTCAGTAGCATTAAGTATATTCACATTGTTGTGCAACTATCACTATTATCCATTCCCAGAACTTTTTCTTCATCCCCAAAATGAAACTCTGTAGTCATGAAACAGTAACCCCCATATTCACCTGGCAGCCCTAGTCCCTGGTAACCATTATTCTGCTTTCTATCTCTATGAATTTGACTATTTTAGGTATGCCATTTAAGTGGAATCATACAATATTTTTTCTTTTGTATCTGGATTATTTCTCTCAGTATAATGTTTCCAAGGTGCATTCATGTTGTAGCTTGTGTGAGAATTGCCTTCATTTTCAAGGCTGAATAATATTCCATTTGATGTATATACCACATTTTGTTTATCCTTTCACTTGATAGTGGACATTTGGGCCTTTTCAACCTTTTGACTATTTTGAATAATGTCTAATACGAACATAGGGGTGTGCAAATAGCTGCTTAAGTCTCTGTTTTAGTGGTCTGCTTTTGATAGTTCAAAAAAAATCAAAGGAATCTTGCCAGGCATGATGGCTCATACCTGTAATCCCAGCACTTTGGGAGGCCAAGGTAGGTGAATTGCTTGAGGCCAGGAGTTCAAGACCAGCCTGGCCAACATGACAAAACCTCTTCTCTACTAAAAATACAAACATTAGCTGGGCATGGTGGCATGCCCCTCCAGCTACTTGGGAGGCTGAGGTAGGAGAATCGCTTGAACCTGGGAGGCAGAGGTTGCAGTGAGCTGAGATCGTGCTGTTGCACTCCAGCCTGTGCGACGAGAGCAAAAATCCATCTCAAAAAAAAAAAAAAAAGAAAAAAGAAAGAAAAGAAAAAGAAATCAGAGGAATCATTCAATGTTTCATGATTTTCTGCTGCATCATTAGCAGACATGGAGACCTATCTGGATCTTCCATACCTGGTAAAATCCTCTCATTTCCTAACTGGAAAGAAAAGAATTTCAGAAAAGCCAAGTGACTTGCCCTTAGGATGCACAGCTAGTTGAATACCCTTTTTAAAAAGAATCAGCTTCAGCAAAGCAAATAAGACTAG